GGCACCACCCCCCCCGTCTCCTCGTCCCCCGCCAGCGCCCACGGCAGCCCCCGCCCCCGCCCGTCCCGCACGATGGCCGCCCGCAGCGTCGCCGCCGTGACGTGGCTCCCGGCCAGGCGCACGCGCACGCTCGCCGCGCGCGCGTCGTCGCGCGCGGGGAGGAAGGCGGCGACGTGCAGGCCGTCGGGGCGGGGGGCGAGGTTCGGGCGCTGGGCGGCGGCGGCCGCCGCGGGGTAGAAGCGGCGGAGGAGGAACTGGAGCTGGCGGAGGGGGAGGATGCGGATGCGCGGGCGGGGGAGCGAGGGCGGGAGGATGGAGGGCGGGGGCGCGGCGAGGAGGGCGTCGGCGTAGGCGCGGGCGGCGACGAGGGTGTCGAAGAAGAGGAAGTACTGGCCGGAGGGGTGGCGGGACTTGGTGTGCGGGTGGAGGGAGGGGAGGACCTTGACGAGGCCGCGGGTCCAGCCGTCGACGCGGAGGCCCGGGGAGGCGAGGCGCTGGAAGTCGGAGTCCAGGAGGGAGGGGGGGAGGCGCGAGATGTCGAGGACGGCGGGCTGCGTGGTGGGGAGGGGGCGCGGGGTGGTCGAGGTGGCGTCGATGGAGTGGAGGGGGGTGGTGTAGAAGATGGTGTTGCGCCACTTCGAGAGCTCGTCGGTGGTGGCGGCGGTGGGGCGGGTTGGGCGGCGCCGCTTGGGATGCCGGGGGCGGGAGGATTTGGCGGCTAGCTTGTTCACGATGTCTTCAGATAGGGGCTTGGTGGTGAGGGTTCTTCGGGGGGGTGACGGGGGTGGGAGCCATGGTCGCTCCCAGTGGCGCTGGCATTGGTGTTGACATGGCCTTGGTCTAGTCAGGGCCACTGGAACCTGGAGTCTCCTTGGTATCATGGCCCAGAGGCGTGGGCGGTTGGTAGGTGGTTGAGATGTGAGTGAGTGGTTGTCGGAAACAAAGTAAAGAAGGCCTGTGTGGCGCTACCGGATCCGATTGGGCAGCCTTGAAATTGTGGGGCAAATGGAGAGTTCGACGACCACATCCCTCACTTCTTTCTCACCATGAACACTGAATTTTTACCCGCGATCCGGAAGCTTGCTCACGATTGCGGCAACACACGACATTGGATTCAAATGGTACGGCGAGCTGGTGTTTGAACATTTTATTTCTGTCGCTATTTCATGCTCAGGTTTCATCACCCATCATCATATCCATACAGCCAACCTCAACCACCACCAGACAAAGACACCGTCATGGCGACAGCGATGAGTCGCTCGCTCGTTCACAACCTCGCCGAAACTTCAAATCCCGCGACATCGCACACCGAAACAAACAATCGCTCAAACCTCCCATCTTCAACGCCAACCGTCGCACGTCTCGACACCCGTCTCCGCAGACACCACACCACCTCACCCCAACTCCGTGCCCCCGGCTACGTCTGCAAATACGCCCACCACTTCGGCACGTTCTGAATCTCCGTCCCCTTCACCCTCTTCCCATCGACACAAATGTCCACGCCGTACGCGCGCTCCCCGTCCGGCCCCCGCCTCCGCGTCAGGTAGCGGCGCGGCTCGTCCTCGCCCGTCAAGCGCTTCTTTGCGCGCAGGAGGATGTTTTTGAGCTTGAGGGACTCGACGAGGGGGTGGACCGCTTCCTGCTCTCCTTCCTTTGTGTCTTCCTTCTTTTCGTCCTCCTTTCCCCCTTCGTCCTTCTTCTTCTCCTTGGGCTTTTCTGCCTTCTTCTCCTTGAGACCCCGTATCCTCACGAGCTCCTTTTCCTTTTTGGGTTTCTTCTCCCTGAGTCCCCTGATCCTGACGAGATCTTCCTTTCTGGGCTTGCTGCGTTTCTTGGGGGGCGGGGGCTCGTCAGAGGGGGGTTTCTCAGATGGCGCCTTTTCTGAGGGCGCCTTTTCCGAGGGCGCCTTCTCCGACGCAGCCTTTTCCGACGCAGCCTTTTCCGACGCACCCTTTTCCGAGGCTGCCTTTTCGGACGCGGCCTTCTCCGAGGCCGCCTTCTCAGAGGCCGCTTTTTGCGACCCGGCTTCACTCGCCTTCTTCGAACCCGCCTTCGAACCAGCCTTCGAGGCCGTCTTTCCCGCCTCGGAAGGAGCCTTTTCCGACTCCGCCGGGGCAGGCGGCGCCTCCTTCTTGCTCTTGTCGGACTTTGCGCTCTTCTTGCTCTTCTTTGAGCCTGCCTCGGAAGGCGCCTTCTCCGGCTCTGGAACGGGCTCCTCTGCTTCCGACATGACCTTTTCTGGTTCCGGAGCTGGAGCGGCCTTCTTATTCTTCTGCTTGCCCTTCTTCGCTTCCGGCTTTGGGGCTGGGGTTTTGTCCGCGGCGGGTTCCGCGGGCTTTTCTTTCTGGAATACCGTCAGCCTTTTCGCCCTGCCATCAATCCAATGGGAGAGAAAAGGATGAATTACCTCGGCCTTTGCCGCTTTCTTGGGCGCTTTGTCGGGCGGCTTTTCCGCTGCAGGAGCTACCGAGGGGGCTTTGGCCGAGCCGTGGTGGGACGCGGCGTCCGAGTGGGCGCCATGGGAGGCCGGCTTGGCGGAGCCGGCTTTGCTGAGTTTGGAGGCATGGGTCCCGGCCTCGGAGGGCGGTGCTTTGGTGCTGGGCGCTTTCTCGGCCTTCTTCCCCCCGCCTGATGCGGGCTCTGCCGCCGGGGCCTTGGAGGCAGCAGCCGCCTCCTTGTGCGAGCCGGGCTTGCTCCCGGCCCCGGAGCCATGGGACCCCGCCTCCGATGACGAGGCCTTGTGTTCAGAAAGTTGCAGGGAAAGGGACTTGCTGCCGCTGCTGGTGGACGTGGAACGAGTGAATGACGAGCTGGATGTGGAGTCGCTGAAGGGAGAGAAAGAGAGCCCGGATTCGGCGTACTTTTTGGCGTACTTCTTTCCGTACTTGGACTGGTACTTGGACTCGTACTTTGGTCCGAGCTTGGGCTCGTGGTGGGTTCCGACGCTGGGGGCTGAGGCGGTGCTGGCTGAGGCGGCACTGGGTGGGCTGCGGTGGGAGTCGGTCTTGGATGAGCTGTGGTGGGAGCCGGTGCTGGATGATCCGTGGTGGGACCCGGCGGCGTGTGATCCGGCGACGTGCGGTTCAGAGTGCCGGGACTCGGACTTGTGGGAAGGGTGGTGGGACCCGGCGGAGTGGGGCTCAGAGTGCCGGGACTCGGACTTGTGGGAGGGGTGATGGGACCCGGCGGAGTGGGGCTCAGAGTGCCGGGACTCAGCCTTGTGGGAGGAATGATGGGACCCGGTGGCGTGGGACCCGGCGGCGTGGGGCTCAGAGTGCCGGGACTCGGACTTGTGGGAAGGATGATGGGACCCGCTGGCGTGGGATGCAGCTGCATGGGGTTCAGAGTGCCGGGACTCGGACTTGTGCGAGCCATGACCGGACCCATGGTTGGACCCATTCTCAGACTTCCCCTTGACCCCCTTCTTCGACCCCCCCTCCGGCCCCGAGCTCCGCGAACTGGCACTCTGCCCCGCGCTGCGGCTCAACTCGGACCTCGACGCCAGGCTCGACCGATCACTGTACCTCGACCGCGGCCCCGTCCCGCTGCCATACCCCGACCTCGTCCCGAAGCTGGTCCCATAGCCGGACCCCGTCCCCGCCCCCGACGCGGTCGAGTACGTGTCCGAGTACATGTCCGAGTACACCGACGTCGACCCGGCCGTGCCGGCCGTGCCGGCCGTGGCCATCTGCGTCGACGTGCCGAAGAAGTTGAAGTCGTCATCCTCGTCCGCCTCGTCGACGACGAGGACCTGGAAGCGGTGCGCGGCGGGCTTCCGCTTGCTGCTGCTGTTGCTCACGGGGCGGCTGTGCGACGAAGCGACCGAGTCCCCCCAGTCTTCGACCCTGCGGCGGAGGAGGCTGGTGACGTCGGACGCCGGGCGGGAGGCATGGTTGGGGGCGCGGGTGGGCATGGTGGTGTCTTGGTCTTGGTGTCTGGGTTGGTGCCGGTGGCGCTGTCATGGACGCGGTGCTATCGTCGCAAGTGTGGCCAGATTTCGGGCTGGAGACAATCTCGTGGATGTATGTGTATGTTGGAGTCGCGTTGGTGTAATTGGTCGTGTGTCTTGGGGTCGGCGCTTGTCGAGGAGCGTGGATAGGGGGTGTGATGTTGCACGACGGAGATGTTGTGGGATGTACAGATGGGTGGAAGGCGTACGGGGTGCGATGATGAGGGGATCGGTGCATACATATGGGGGCATGAAACCTCTACGTTCTTCTACGGGGTTGAATATTTCTGCGAGCACGAGATGCATGGCACCACGCACATGACTTCGTCATTGAGAGGCGTCGCGACGTATACCTCGGCCGACTTATCTGCGCGTGTATGTCGGTCGAGGTTTCGAGGCTGCGCCCCGTTGTAACAGCTTCCAGTCATGATGCGTGCCCGTTGAGAATCGCGAATGGCGAATACATCTCTGAACAGAGTAGGTAGATGGGACTCGATACAGTTTCTCCCGAGACTGGAGAGGCCGTCAAACACAAGAGAAGATCACAAATATTCAGTTTATAGAGAGAGCAACAACCCAGTTCGAAACTCATGAACCAGCACGTGCATCTACGCATATGCCGGCGAAGCACAGTCTGCGTAGGTCTGACGACATACCTTCATGCACCAGCATCATACTCGTCCCAGCCTTGCAGATTGTCCTGCTCCCATTACATGGCAGCGGACCACGCAGATCGAGTTCTCCCGGCATCTGCCGAATACTTTCTAGAATGCGGTTCGGAATCATGGGAATCACATCGTGAGCATCGAGGCATCCTTGTCACCTGGACAAGGGTGTGCCCCTTTTCCAGTCAAAACACCAAAACAAACCCCAATTCCAGGCTCGCGGGGCTCTCCAAAAGTTTGGCGAGAAGGAAAGGTTCGGCGCGAAGGCGGATACGGCATCGCATGATGCAGCTGGAACCCGTTCATGTGCATCTAACAAGGGGAAAAAAGAAAGCCTGGAACATTTCGCTCCGTCGTAGAAATGATATGCTCAGAGGCAAAAAGATTGCGGTTTATGTGGATCGAACACATGACCTTCAGATTGCAGATGAATCTGCTGATTGAAGTGTTACTTCAGTCTGACGCTCTCCCAACTGAGCTAAACCCGCTGCTTGATTGATGGAATGCATGTTCGGAATTAGCCTTGATGAGGGGAAACAGCGCATCTCCACGGCTGAAAAGGAAAATTCGCAGATGTTAACTGAATTCGAAACATTGGGGGTTTTCTCTTTGGGTGCGATTCAGGAGTCCATGAGGCGTCTCTCCTCTGTCGTTGCATTTACGCGGCAGGTCGCATTGCAGCGTCGAGGTCGGCCGAGCCCCTATCTCCACATCGTCGGCTCAGCGACGTTCCTTTCTCACAGGAAAATGCAATTGTCGAACCAAGGTCCAATATGCAGAAGAGCTTCTCATCTTGTTACTCTTCAAAGGAGAGAGTGGCTACCAATATGTATGTCTGGTAGACCCCCCATCGACCACCCTACAAAAAAGGCACAGCAGCACCATCCCCACGCATATCACTCCCCGCAGAATACACCCTCTCCCCACTGACCGGATCGTGATGAACCCTGATGACCTGCCCCCTTCCAAACAGCGCCCTCCCCATCCCCTTGACCACCTTGACCTCGTGCCCCAGCCCCTCCAGCGCTCTCGCAACCTCCTCGCCAATCCCCTCCTCCAGGTACACCGTCTCATCCTTCTTCTTGCTCGGATCCGTCGACTTCCCGGGAATAGTCACCCCGATGCAGACGCGCGGCGCATCCAGCGCCACCTGCGGGTTCATCCCGAACCGGATCATGTTGAGCAGCACCTGGACGTGGCCCTGCGGCTGCATGGCGCCGCCCATGACGCCCAGCACCGTGTGAAGGCTGCCGTCGGCGGCGTTTGTGACCAGCGCGGGGATGATGGTGTTGTAGGGTCGCTTGCCGGGGGCGTAGAGGTTGGGATGGTCCGCCGGGCCGAGGTGGAAGCCGGCGCCGCGGCTCTGGAGGACGAAGCCGACGCTCTGGGGGATGATGCGGCTGCCAAAGTAGTCGGCGACGCTGTTGATGAAGGAGCAGGCGTTGCCTTCGGCGTCCGTCACGGCGAGGTAGACGGTGTCGCTGGACTTGTAGGCGGGCGAGTCGGGCCGGAGGTTGGTGGCGGCGCGCGTGGCGTCGAATAGTTTTGCGCGTTCGGTCAGGTAGGCCTCTGAGATCAACATCTCTGTGGAGTTTGAGGATGCGGGATCCGTGATGAACCAGGTGCCGTCAGAAAAGGCTATCCTCAGAGCCTCGATGACGGCGTGCAGATATTCGGCAGAGTTGTGACCCTGTGGACCAAAGCGAGGAACCTTGCCTTGCTTTTCGAGGATCTGCAGAATCCCCAGTGCCATTTGGGCTACAATGCCCTGTCCGTTGGGTGGGTGCTCCCAAAGGTCGATATCTCCGGTCGACTCGGAGCCAGAGCTGAGTCGGCTGAGTCGGATCGAGACGGGCTGCGAAATTTCACTTCCGCGTTGCCCGTGCTGCTTGAGATCATCCAGACTCAGATAGCCGCCCAAGTCATTCACGATCTTGACGATGGCTTCAGCAACCGGCCCCTCGTAGAACCCAGAACGGCCGTGCTCGCCCAGAAGACGCATCGTGTTTGCCAACAGCGGGTTCCTGTACAGCTCCCCGGCCTTGGGTGCCCGATATCCGCCCAGAAAGGTTGGATCCTGCTTCAGAAGATCGATGCCATTCGGCTTCTGCCGAAGCTCCTCCTCATGTTCCATCCACTTGAACGGGCGGTTAGCCAGAGATCTCGACAGGTACGCATCCTGTACTCACATGGTAGCTGGCAATTTCGCTGATCGGACACCCATCCTCAGCCATCTCGATAGCCGGGGCAAGGACCTGCGCCAACGACACTCGACCGGATCCGAAGCGCTCGACAATGTCCGCCCATGCGGCGGCGCCTCCCGGGACGGTGACGGCGTGCGCCGAGCTCGTCGGGATGGCGCCATGAGTCCGGTCCTCAATCTCGAGATCGCGGCAGATATCATCGACGGTTGCCTTTGCAGCCGAGCGTCCCGAGCCATTGAGAGAATGAACTTGCTTCGACTTGTGGTCGTAGAAAATAGCAAAGGCGTCACCACCTATCCCAGTCATCGAGGGATCCACAAGCCCAAGGACGGCGGCGGCGGCGACAGCAGCATCTGCTGCATTGCCGCCCGCCCGGAGAATCCTCAGGCCAGCATCATTGGCAAGCGGAGAGACGGTGCTCACGATCCCCTTGACGCCATGTACAACGCTGCGTCTGCTGGGGAAAGCACCAAATGCGGCATCTCTGGAGGGATATGAACCCGAGCCCGAGCTGGAAGACATGTTGGATGGGAAAGCAAGTGCACCAAGGGAAAGAAAAGAGTTCGGATTACAAAAAGAGTTGCGGCGGGGGAGGGGGTCTAAGGGCGGCCCTATTCGCGCAGAGGTTCCCATGGCCAGGCCGAGGTCGGGCAGCAGCGGGCACCCCATCGCAAGTTAGGTAATCGTGCGTGGAGAAAGCCAGACTATTGGCTCTCTGCGAATTCGACATTGAGCTCAGCCGCAGATCATATGTCAGGGCGGAAGACAAGATCCGGTGCGATGGCGTACTCATGCCCCGAGATGGGAGCACGAACCGCGAGGGATGGCTCGTGTTGAAGGTCGCACAGTTGCTCAGTCCTCTGTCTTCATCCCGAAATCGGTCAGCGAGACCTCCTTGAACAGGGTTTCGCCGAGCTGAACGAGGGTGTTTTCGTAAACTCTGGCCACGTCCATGTAGAGGGGGTTGTCCTCCTCGTCCTCCTTCTCCTTCTTCGCGGTAGGTCGATCCCAGTCGGCCGGCCCGTCCCAGTCGCTGTCGGTCTCTTCGTCGGTGGGCAATTGCCTCACCGCGGGTTTGGCTTCTTCCTCGTCATCTTCCTCTGGCTTCTCGTCCATGACCTTTGCTATTACCACACGTGCCTGCTGCACGGTACTGTTGCAGCGAACCATATCGGTTCGAGTCATGCCAGCTCGCAGACCATTCTCAAACCCAGGCAGCGTCTCCTTTGTATCAATGTCTTGTCCCTGCAGCAAGCTGGCGAAACAGTGGTCGAGCTTTCGCAAAAGGGCGAATGTCCCGGCGGGGGACGGGGGAAAGGCCTCGACCCAATTGTTGAATTCGCTGGCGATGCTGAGGAGGCAGGGGATTTGAAGGGTTGCTGCAGGTGTGTCAGGCGTGTCCTCTCGACTGGGGCTGTGGGTGGTACTTACGGGTTCCAGAGAGCCACACAATGTTGACCACCTCGTCAAGGTCTTTGCAGATCTCGGCGGCCGACTTGTATCCCGTTCCGTCGTCGGCGAGGAATGCTTGTTCGGCAGCGCCAGATCTCTTGATGAACCGACGGTTGATGTGTTCCATTCGGTCCTTGAAGAAGGATCTGACTTTGCTTTCCTTCGCCGAACCAGCTCGGAGGGGGTGGCCTCGGGGGTGCGGAAGGCCGGGGGCGTTGGGTCGGGTCGCCGTCGACGTCGTGCTCGGGGCTGGGGAGGGCAGCGGGGGCACAACAAAGCCTCCGGCACCTCCCAAGTTCATTTCGTTGCGTTCAGCCATTTTCGGTTCTTGGATTGGGTGATATAGTTGGGTTCTCAAGAGAGCATCGCATCATCGGTGTCCATCGAAAGGTATTTGAATGGTGGGAGCTTCAACAAGGTCACGCGAGACACCATTCCAGTGCAACGATGGAGGAATCGATGGTGGGGTGATTCAGTGGACGTGTGACTGCCCGCCGCCCGGCAGCGGCCCCGTCAGCCTTGCTGTGGGCCTCCCACTTTGCGTCACAGTGCACGGGCCAGCAACAGATCCTCGTCCACGCCAAGCCAAAATTTGCTCGAGCAATCTTGATGGAGAGCTTTTCTTTGTCGTCTTCCCAATCCAAAATCCAAACTCTCCCTCCGCGTCGTCCATTCTCCACGCTCACCACAATGCCTCCCAAGTACGTCACAGGCCCAGGCCGAAGAGTCGCTCCCAAGGGCTACTTCCGGTCGACCTACGATACGCTCACCTCGGCCGAGAACGCCGCCGTCGTCAAGAGCATCGCCGCCTTCGGAGTGAGCAATCCCGTCTCGTCCGCGACGACCAGCGCCTGATCCAATTGATGCTAATTATGGTGCAGGTGGCTGTCACTTTTCTGTCGAGCAACTGGGCGGAATGGGTTCTTGTGTTCGTATCTCCTGAGATTGATGCTCGAACTTCCGGCTGACCTCCCCAGACAATAATCGCGACGTCGACGAGACCACGAAACGATGACGATTACTGCCGCGCCGCGAACGATGCATAATATGGAGGCTCAGCACCTGTACGATACGAATAGACTGCGGTAGGGCATGATTGGGGCATTTGGCAGCCCCCGAGGCGATGGCGTTCAGCGGTTGCACTCTCAACAATACCATTACGACGATATACGGCTTCCCAGCGGCTTCCCTCTCCGTTCGGCCATGTCTGCTCTGCTCCCAGCCGAAGGCTCTCTATGGTTCTATGCCGAATCTCCCCCTCCCTATATCCCACATCCGCCCCTCCCCTCCACCTGGTGTTCACTTCGAACTTGACCGATTGCTCCATGGTCTCGTCCGTCCTCTTTTTTTGCCCAGGAAGAAGAAAACTTGTCCCATTACTCACCACAGCTTTCGTTGGCATTTGCTGTGGAAGCTGAGGTCCATATTCGGGTCAACAAACCATACTTTCCCGGTGGTATCAACTCCAGCTATTCCAGTTTATCCCGGCCTTTCCGGCTTCCCAATCATTTCACCCTTGCTAACATCTCCCTTCCCAATACTCCCCCACTCTGCCCCTTTCTCATTCCACTTCTCGCTGTTACCTTTGAGATTACCAGCCCTGAGTACCACAAGTGCGGCGTTCAAGTATGTTGCAACTGCGACACAGCTGGTTGCCTTTGCGCAACATATAGAGTTGAAGTTGAAAGCTTTCATTCCCTCTTAGCCAAATCCGAACCTCTGCCTTTTCCACGAACGATGAGTGACCGAGTCTCCTCCCCCTCCCCTTTCCACTGCGAATGCGTACAAGGTCGGATCTTCCCAGAGTCTCCCAAGTAGAGCCTGCCATTTTG